GGGTTCAAAATCCCTTGGCTTTCCGTTGTGGGATAAAACCACACTAGAAACCCATCTTTTCCCAATTCTTTCCGTTTCAACGAGTGAACTTCGAGAATCAATTTCTCATTCACCCGTTATCCATTTTGAGTGTATCATATATCGAATTGTAGACCTTAATAAGGTCAATCCGAAACCACTTTGACCCGACCCAAATCGGAAGTGGACCTCACTCAAAATATCGCCCCAAATTGCCCATTTAATTTAATGCAATTTTAACGCATTTTTCCAACATTATAATGAAGAAAATAAGCTTGAATATGATGTAAACGTACTTCACGAGTAAAAACAACAGAATAGAATTTGAACATGTGTTTATACATCTGTACAACATTTTAGCAAACAATATACTCCTTAACCGGGGTATTTTATAATGGAAATAACTCAAGTGTAGGATCAAATGCAATGTTCTCGTACATTAAAATTTGTTGTTTAACATGCAAAAAAACGAAAACTTAACAGGTTTGGCTTTGATTCATTTCTGGTAAAACATTTGTGAAACTTGCACTCTGAATTATTTTTGTAATATGTATAGTATCAATGATTAATGACCGAAATGACGTCATAACAGTATAATTGGATCAGTATATTTAACGGTGGTGTTCAATTTCCCATATCCGTATCTCCAAAAGAGAAAAGAGAGTGGAGTTGGGCAAGGCGTTGAAGTTTCAAGTTTTTCGGGATCGGGGGAATCTTTTTGCATTTTCTTCATTCTCTTCACTTTTGTTGATAAGAATGAGGGGCGGGCACCGAAAAGCACATGGACAACTTTGCTCCTCGATCATCATCATCATGAAAGCAAGAATTTTACCAAAAGTAAAAGCGTTTTGATTAGACCGCCCAACCACACACTTGCACGACAAACTTTATATACAATGCATCTTATGTTGTATTTAATCTCCACCCATCAAACCACAAACATTAATTAAGTATGCTAATTGTGTATTTAATTAATATAGTTATAGTCATTTGAATATTGTACTCTCTTGTCTATCAATCTCTTATCCTATCTCATCTCAATTCAACGTTAGTGTATTTATTCTGATAAGTGTACTCGGATCCACCATCATGCCATAAGTAAACCGTGTTACAAGTGGATTTTAGTCAAGGGCATATCCATGGTGGGATTTTTATACTCCGAGTAATATCTAAGAGAAGGGCATACAATACATATTGTTACTATACCAAACAAAACTAAATGAAACAGTCAACTTTTTAAAAAATTACAAATTTGTCTTTTAAGATATTTTCGTTCCCTAAAAAACTAACAATTATTAAAAAAGATTAGCTAGTTGTATCATACATACTCATATATGCTCTATGCATCATCATAACTTATATAGGAAGTGAGACGTTATTGCATTGTTGTAGGCAATGTCGTTGATAGTATATTATGCTGAACCTCCGGTATGCCGACTATTGGGCCCGGACAGCGGCACAGATACACTGGTACACGTTGTCTCAGAAACGTTTTGTAATGCGTAAGGAATATTATAAATGACTTAAAAGGGTGGTTTTCTTACCCCGAGGGGTCAAAGATTGGGGAACTTGAGGTATAGAGGGCTGAAATTGTTTCCATGGAATTTCGAATTCAGAACCTCCCTTATGAGAGAGTGAGTTGGCGGCAAGTGATTATAAATTAGTTATTATTTGTAGAGATGCTCACCGATCCTCGTCTCATAGCACTTTTGGGTACGTATTTATTGACACTACTAATGTATCCCATAACTTTTATGTCATTAGAAAGAGTTTTTTTATGAGGACCAAAACATTGATAAAATGCACCCATGGAGCTGTCATTATTTTCTTTTAAAGTAGGACTCATTTACTCCTAATTGAAGAAGTTGAATGCTTTTAATAGAAGCAAATAAATTGTACTTTAGAAATAAGATATAACCACTCGTATTAGTATTTTATTCATATATATTTTGAATTCCATTAAAAATGTTAAGAGAAATGAGACAACATTAACTCTAATGCAAGTCGTGTAAGGTTCCAGGAAGTTGCTAAGAAGCACCTAAACATGGAGGCACCTAGCTTCTTGGAAAGAGCTCTCCAACAAATAGGTATGGTGGAAAATGTTGATGAAGGAAGCACTACTACCTCTCGTCTCCAAACCGGTCCTATGAATATAAAGCTTGTTGTTGTTCATTATCATCAGATCATAGACTGATAAAAGTGTTTGCGTATAGTGATATACACTTAGAGAAAGAGAATACTAGTTAGATTTGTTTTTTTTTAGTTGAGTGAGCTTGACTCCTCCTATAATTTTGTTCTTGATGTTGAATAGAAGAGTTTTCCAATCCGAAGAGATCAAATGTTAGTATCGTCCGATATCATGCTCTGAAGCTCTCTCTAGTAACTCTTAAAACCACGATGGCCACAATAGAAAGCTTGTGAGCATATTGATTTGGCTCCTACAAGGAATGTTGGCCGGGTGAAGAGTCATTCCAAATTAACCAAATATTAAGACACAAAATCATCCACTATGTTAGGTGAAGAGTCATTCCAAATTAATCAAATATTAAGATACAAACTAACACATAAATAAGATTTTAAATGACTTCTCCCATAAGATTGATCTTGGCTTTAGGATGGAATTTCATATGTTCATTAATTGCAAATATTAAGATACAAACATATAAGAATTTAAATAACTTCTCCCATAAGATTGACAAATGGCTAAAAGGATGGAATTTCATGTGTTAATTAATTGTGTACTAGACCCATTAAGTTGAAACGAACACGTATACAATGCATTTTGTGAATAAGACTAAAAACAAGAGCACACAAATGGAAATATACAATGCATATCAACAAGTCTCCATATTGACTTGAATCCTCCATGCATATGCATCACGATAATTTCATATGAATCTACTTCTCCTGCCTCAAATTTGGTCCCTAGGAAAATTAACACATTTTGTGATATTTAGCCTGTTCAAAAAGTGTTGGAACTTGCCATTCGAAACTGGTCTAGTGAACATATCAGCAAGATTATCAACAGTTCCCTGGCCTATTAATTTCATCACATTGATCATTTGATCCTCTTCTTATTCCTTAGGAAATGATACCTCACATCGATATGTTTGGTCCTCTCACGGTGGATTTGGCCATTGGCTAAACAGATTGTGCTCAGATTAGCACATTATACAATAGCATTATCAAGATGTAAAACAAGATCATTAACCAGTCATTTCAACCATATTTCTTCAACTAGTGTGTGATCAGGTTATATTCAAGACATGTTAACAGTTGTGATAATTTACTAAAAAATAAAGATGTCCTAGTCTGACTACATAAAGTTGGAATTATAATTTGAATAAGTGTATAATTACTCTTTATGTGCTTATGCGGGATTAACACAAATATTGTGAACTAAAATTAGGAAACTCCTAAAATATAATAACCGAGATCGAGCTTCTTAGATATTCGATCTAAGAACATCTAAGAACAAAGTATGGAGTAGTACATCCCCTTATCACATGCATAATACTACTTTCTTACTTGGGTGCATAATTGAAGTGACAACTACAGTTCTATCCTTTTCAGAGTACCTAGAGTAATGCCCAATATATAACATCCTAGCCTTCTTAGGGAATTCTAAAAAATACCCCGTATGTTTAAAATTATTTAGTTATAAAAATGTGAGCCTACCTATCTAGGAAATTCTCTCTGTTTGGTTTACTTTGCTATGTGATATCGTGTGGAATATACTGATGATTAGAGGGCTTACCATGCATCACCTAAAGATTAATTAGCCCCCTCAGTGGGAATGAAATCAGTAAATTATCTCCTTTCCAAGCATGTTGTTCCACTAACCCAATTTCGAATATGTTTGCTACACTACAAATTGATATATGATTGGTTGAGCTCATCTATTAGGTAAGCTGGGGATTATTTTAAAGCGTCAAGTTGCATTGACCAATATATTTGGAGACAATTTCATAAAAAAGGAAACTGTCCTTTCATATCGAATATACAAATTACTTGGAGGTATTATAAGGGACGAAGGGAGTATAATCATCTCAATAAGAGGGTGTATAAAAATGATCTTGTTTCTGCTTTTTTATGAAGTCAAAGTAAAATCAGAATCGGTTTTTTAGAAGTTAATCCCCAAATTTCTCAAAAACTGGTTCTTGGAGCAATTTGAAACACATAGATGTACTACATTTTCATCTGAATACTCCAATATTTGTTTTCACTACTCCCTAAAGTAATAGAAATAGTTTTAAAAAAACATTCAAACACCCCGGCCCCTAATAACAATATATTGGAAAATTTTGTATCTAATAAGTTAAAAGCCCTTCTTTGAGGCCCCTACATATAAACTAAAAGTTCTTGTCATAGACTAACTTGAAGGCTGAAGCTAGTTAAAATATATAAATATCAATCAGGATATTATTTGCTAGTATAGGTGCTTTGACACATCAGGTGTGCCCAATATTATATGCTCAAGTAATGTCACACAATCAAGGATATGAATTCAAAGCCAGGTAGTCAGGTACCATTCATGGCCTTACCTTAACTTTCCAAGTATAAATGAAAAATATAATACACCATTCATGGCCTTGCAACAGTATGTATTCTATTGAGGGACCACTAGAAATATTTTGCAGATATTAGAGAGAGAAAACAAAAGATTTTGATAGGGAACAAAGTGCTGTGGAACCTTGGCTTTGTGTATGTATATATGCACCCACACGCGCGCCCTCACATTAAAAAAGATCCATAGGTTTCAACGGCTCTCCATTTCACTCTTTGGGAATCACTTTTTTTCCTTCACTTTTATAACATGGAAATTATAAGTCAACCTCACCTCATCATTTGGTCTTGGTTCCTCTAGGCAACCACCTCATTTCCCACTTTCTTTTTCCTCCTTTCACTTATTCCTACCCCTCTCAAGTTTCACCTCTCTCTATATAATCATTCTTGGCCTCTTCGTGCATTGATCAAAAGTTAATTAACTCATCAAGGGAACAACTTCCACATTCATATATAGAGTATAGGGCGGCCAAACCAAACCACTTTCCGGCCATCAAAACATAGGGAGAAACATAGACATACCACCGACGGCCACCATGAAAATTCATGAGTTTACGCGGGGCGGCTTCATCTTTGAGCAAGACGTCCCTTCTCTCTCCCTCGGTTGCAAGCGCTACCGCCCTCTCGCTCCCAAGCTTGCCCCCACCGACGACTTCGACCTCAAGAGCTTCATTAGACCCGAAAGCAGCCATCTTGAAGAGAAAAGAGACTCGCTCCATCAGGTATGTATAGAAATATAAACCAACATATAAAGTCTTGGGTTACTTCTCGTCATAATAATCATACATGGACTAACGAAGTCTTGAAATTGCATTGTTTGTTTGATGTAGACGATGACGGGGGAGACGCATCTGGGAGGCACCAGATGGAACCCAACCCAAGAACAGATAGGAATACTAGAGATGCTTTACAGAGGGGGGATGAGAACTCCCAACGCGCAGCAGATCGAGCAAATCACTGCACAGCTAGGGAAGTACGGAAAGATCGAGGGCAAGAACGTGTTTTACTGGTTCCAGAACCACAAAGCCCGGGAGAGGCAAAAGCAGAAGAGGAGCAGCCTCGGGCTAAACCATAGCCCGAGGACACCGCCACCATCTGCTTCCTTTACCAACTCTCCATTTGTAGCATTCGATCCGTGGGTAAGTTACTTAAACAAAATGTATTAAAGAGACGTCCCGGGCTCCCGGCCCTCTTACTATATACTAAACAGAATGTATTGTATTGTTGCAGGGAGAGCAAAGTGCATGCAAGAGAAAATGGCCGACATATGGGAGTTTGGGAGAAGAGAACAGTTCATGTGGAAGAGAAGAAGGAGATGGGACTCTAGAACTTTTTCCATTGCATCCTGAACTAGGGAGATGATGACCAGTTGACTATGATGATGAATTTTGTTATTATTTGGGAACGTTCGGCCCGGAGTCGTTCTTCTGGAGTCGTTCGTCCCGGCCCAGCACAGCTCGGCCGGGACTGCCTCAATAATAATGCAATGTGGCTCAAAATTCTTGACTAGCTAGATGTATAAGTTGGACCGGTGTTGTGGTTAATAAATTGATTTAACTTCCTCTTTGTCTGATTTCTGATTATAATTGATGAAATGGAACGTACCTTGTTCTTAATTATTCCAAAAGAAAAACAAAGATTCAGTCATATGTTGTTTTATTTTCTATATTTGGGGTAGCACGTTTAAGGACACTCAGATCAGATAATATTCGATCTGTTCATCTTAGGATCTGGTTTCGTGCCCTTTATTTGAAGGTCAACTACCCATTGGTGGGGTAAGGCCCAGGACTCCAGGTATACCTAACTTTAGACAAAGAGACATAGACACAAGCGCCCATTTTTACCTGATTGAATTTGTAGCTTTGGTATTTGACTTACTTATCAATCAGCGAAATCAGTTAAGTTTTCCACTAATGAATTAACGATTTTCCACCGACATTTATTCTTTGACGGACACTGATTATTTTTTATTTCACTACAATAAATACTTAAAGGGGGTTTCCTAGGATATTGCTGGAAGATAATTTGAATTAAAGTGACTATTAATATAATTATATGATCTTTACAATGTAAATAAACTGAACTTAATTATAGTCAACAAAATAGGTCACGCTTCTTGTTCATCATCTTAATTTTATTTATATATATAATCATCTTTGTTTCAATCATATTATCTCCGTCCCATTGAATATTCTCAATTTTGAATTAAGTAAGGTTAAAGTTTGTGCTAAAGAGTATAAATGAGCATAATCATAATTTGGTTACTTCAATTGAAATATGGTAAGTAGTTTGATACAATAAAAAAAGGAAAGTTGATAAAGTCCAGTATCTAAATGCACTTATTTAAATTTTTGTAATACAATCTACTAAAGTATCTTATACAAATGGACCACTTCAAAAAGCCATTACAAAAAGTAATGGGTTACATATTCAGGGCCGATTATGGGGTGATTAATATGGGCTTGTCAATAGAGAGGCAGAAGAAATTAATAGGGAATTTTTTACAAATAAATCAAAAGGCCAAAATTATATTCTCTATCAAATTTTCACTTTTGAATATTCTTTTCAAAATGATATAATTCCCTAATTAAGAGTAAAACTTGTTGTAAGTGCAACAATAAGAGTTCAATGTTTTGTAGGAGTAAAAAGAGGTGGGTTGACAAAATTACCTTTAATCAACAAATTAGTTTATGTATTCATAATACAAAATAAAATAATAAAAGAAAATATGAGAAGCCCAACACTCGCACCACAATCCTTTGGCACATGACCGTGCACATCGATCTCCGGCACTGAGGTGCCATAGTCTGCTCCATCTGTGACCTCATTCGGCCTTGATGCCGGTCACAGTCATATCCGTCGTCATCGCAGCCATATTCGACGATGTCGCCGCCTCATCCAACACCACCATGTCTCAACTTGTGTGAATTGTGCGATCTCTGGCGCCTCCTCCTCCATTGAGCTGACCATTGTAGATCTCAGATTTTTATCTCGGGTCTAGTGTGACTATCAATTAAGTGTCATCTTGTAGTTGGAGTATCATCTTGATGACATTATTCTTATCCTGACAGAAATAAGATGACATTTTCAAATTAAAAAACATGGCACTTATATTTTACCGAATGAGGAGTATTGTCATTCATTCTTGAAGTGACATTTTTATATTCTAAGCAGTAATATGGTGAAGCTAATAATAAAAACAATAAATATCAAAATAAATAAAAAATTCTTGAAATTAAAAGAAAAAACTAAAAATTTGGCAAATAACCAAATTAGAAATACTACCATCTCTATTACAGGAGGAAAAGAGATTCATCATTCATACCTGGTCGTCGTTAAGTGGTGGTCGCTATACTCACTGCTCGCCCCCTCTCACCCTGCTCACTCCGTTCGCCTCTCACCTCTAAAAATCGGCAGAGATGATGAAATTCAAGATCCACAGAATAAAATTGAAGTTATTATAGAAGGGAAGAGAGGAAAATGGAGGTGTCATAGATGCGAGAGGAGAGGTGGGAGAGGAGAGAAGGAAGAGAAGATGGATTGAAAAGAATTTGACGATGACCTCATGAAGGAAAAGGTATACTAGGCAGGCTAAATAAATAATTTCTATTCAGAGAATAACTAGACACAAGTCCTGTTTTTGAACTTTCTTAATGTACTCATCTTTAGGATAATAATTTTTTCAAAAATAAACTAATGAAAGTTATCTTTTTAAAAATAGACTTATTCTCTAATGTTTAGTGTGTACCCTTAATTAGCAGTATACATTAATTAAGAATTTAAGAGGCCTTATCCTATCACTTAGGATGAATAACTAAAAAGGAAAAGTGCTCAAAAGTAGAATGTTGTAAAATATTGAATTTTTGGGAGCATTAGAAAATATGAATTTTGTAAATTTCAAAAGATGAAAAAAAGTAAAAATGATTACAAATCATAAAACAAAACATTAAAAAATGTAACACGTAAGAACTACGTAGTATAAAAGAATAGAATAGTGATTTTTATTTCATATGAAACTAAAATATTAAAAGTAATAGAAGAACTACTTTGTTTTTTATTTCAAATCAAAACTATAAAATGAAAATGCAAAAATTTATAAAATGTTGAAACCATGAAAAAAGTAGAAAAGATACTAAAAGTAAAATGAATAATTTAATAATGTGTACAAGGGGGAAATAAAAAACCCAAAAAGAATAAAAATTAAAACATATATGAAAAGAAGTAAAATAATACAAACAAAGAATGAGAAATAAAAAATAACAAAATAAGTTTTGAAACATTTAGAAAAGTATAAAAAATCACAAAATCATAACTAATACTCCATCATTTTATTGTTAGTTTGTGTCTCCTATTAAATCTTTGTGTTTCTTTTTGTTGATAATTCTAAAGTTTTTTTTTTTAATTGTTTCTTTATGTTTCTAGTCGTTTATATTCAGAAATCCAAATTTAGCACATTATATGTTTGTATATAAATCTATATAGATACTTTGATTTTGGGGAAGTAGAAAATATATTTAGAAATCTAAATAAACAACAACAATCTAAATTAACAATATACAATAATGACCATGATAAAAAAAATACAATAAGAAATACAATAAAAAATACAATAATGACTAAAATACAAAAAGAAATACTTGGCCAACAAGTAAAAAAGATGTTATTCTAATGATATGGCGACACATGTTATACTTGGGCACCATGTAAAATATGCTAGTCTAATAATATGGTGACACGTGTAAAGCTTGATTGGCAAAAGAATGGAGACAACTGGGTGATTGGTACGTCGTCTAACTGATTTGATTCCCTTTGTACTGGAATGTACATGCAAGCCACATGTGTAAGTTCTCGATCATTCTGTGTGTAACTGTAACATATACATAGTATAATATTCCATTTTCCCTGTTAGGATTGTCTTATTTTTCTTTTCGGTCAATCTCACTAAAATTGTCTCATATCAAATTTGGTAAAGTTGTGCGAGTCTAAATCACTTTTACTTGGCCAATTTAATATCAACCATATAAACTCTTTTTCTTAATAAACACATCACTTTCTCATGTCTCAATGATAGTAATTGCTTACAAAATGAAAACTATTTTAATATTGGACAAAAGTTGGCGCGCCTTGCGCGATCAAACGCTAGTTGTATTTATATAAGCTAACTAACGATGAGCTTCTAAGCCATCTCTTCCTCTCCAATGTGGGAATAGACAAACAGTCATATCTATATACATATTTTTCAAGCAAGAAAGCGGAGGATTCATATATGTAAATATCAATCTTATTCAGCTTCTATATACTTCGCCTAAATTTTCTCTTGTCACTCACGCCGGAAAAAGTCGTCCGGAACACTATGGCGGTCATGCCGTTGCCCTCACCGCCAAGGGTTTCTACGGGAAAGATCATCGCCGGAAGTGATATTGTTATTCGGTCGGCAAGAGTGTCCCTTCTCTTTGCACATACAATCAAAACTTGAAGATGAGATTGTTAAAACAAATGAGCTGCTTGCTAAATATATATTCGTGGATCAGGTGAGGTTTAAAAAGTTTCCTCTTAGTATACATACGATTCTGTTAGTTGGATTGATTTAATATCTAACTAATTATCTTACGTTAATCACATATTTTGATTATACATTGATGTGGAAGTACGTTTTAGAACAAACTATGTGAATATGATGGATTGCTAAAGGTGGAAATATATATTGATTTAAATCCTATAAGATCTATATAATATATTTTATAAATATATGAATAAAAATAGTTAAAGAAATTATAAATATTTTCGTCTGTTTGTTTTCTTAAATATTAAAGGCTATTGTGATTTTGAAAATGTTAATAGTGAGATATGTTACTTGGTAAGGTACATAGTTTAATAATATGTATTAAACGTTTAATATTTGTCTTAGTAAATTATATTAAATATTGAGTATAATCCGTAGCTAGGAGTAGCATGTTTGACTTCAGAAGTCGTGAGTTCTAGAAAAGTTCTATAAAGTTATATGTGTAGGCTTAGTTAAATACTTGCCTAGGTGATGAAATTGTTATGTGCTAGGATATTAGCATAAGGACATTATTCTACTAGGGTGTAGAATAGGAAATGGGTATGAGTAGTACTATTAATCCATTTATATTAAATCTCAAGTGTTACAGTAACCGCTTGGGTGATGTAAGCCCTAGACAGTTGTCATGTTGATGATGTAGGTTTAGCTATGTGTGGAACTTGAGTACTGAAAATAGCCAAGTCCATAATCTTCCCTGAGGCCGCGGCCTCTTTCGATGGTTACAACAAAGGGGTGCCTCATTATTAACTCTACTGAGGAAAAAACTCTGTGGGAAAAAATCGTAAAGGGGGAAAAATAGTACATTCCGATTTGAGGGAACTTCTGAAAAAGAAGGCGATTTTCGCTGCAAAAGAGATGAGCTCGAGCTTGGCGCTCCATAGTAACCAATGAGCTTGATTTTCCGTTCCTACGAGTCAGTTAGTACATCCACGACCATAGCCGATGATTGATACAAAATCTAAATTTAAGATAAAAATAATGAGCTCACGTTAAGTTATACCTGATTGATGTGATATCCTAGGTTGTTCATTGTAGTTTGAGCTAAGTTTGAATTTCACATGAGTTTTCTT